AACACTGTGTCTGTTGGGGCTCTTCGAGTAGCTGGGAGAGAGAGAGGAGAAAGAGAAAGGAGACACTTATAGAATACGTCGTTTTAGTAGAGTGTTCTTATTTCAGGGGTTACAATAATCACTAGAATACAACAGCAGATATACAACGAAGTCTTGTTATGAAGAATAACACTGCTGAAGGAAGTCAGTAGGGTTGATACAGTACTATCTATGTGGTGCGCGCAATGCCCCAGTTTGTTCCTGTATCAGATATAGTGTGTAGTTGGGGAAAAGTGTGTTGAGGCGTCCTTAGAAAGAGGCTCCACCGTATTTCATAGGAAGCTGAACTGAATGTTCAGAGTGGGAGGCATATATCCAGTGGACCATGTCACTCAGGGAAATTCTTGCCTCCCACTATAACACAGTAGAGTGGATTCCCACATGGTTGAAAGCATTCACTATATACCACAAGGGGACAGAATTTTGGCTACTACAATCTGACATGGGGCTCTGCCTATATCTCCTTCAGTCATGAATTCTGCTTCTGTGCCCGATCGGTGTTTTTTTCCAGCAACTCTCTTGCACGCATGCGTGATTCTGCCCAAATTGACACACCCCCTTCATCCCGCACGTGCGCTGTGGCGATCTTTCTTTCTGCCGTTTTACAGACCTACGCACAGCCTCTGTGCCTGCCTTTCAGTCTGCTGAGACATTTATGACATGACATATCTCACTCAATTGGGACATTTATTTACACCAAAGCTCCGACCGACACATCCAAGTGCTGACTGACCACCTCTGAGGATGCGTGGGTGCTTATAATGCCGCCATACCACCCGCCTACCGGGTCAAAGTTCACAATTGTGCAAGTTTTGTTGATGTTTCTAGAAGTGTGTAAATTTGTGACTGAAAGGGAAACACACCACAGGCAAAGAGGAGCAGCTATATATACATTGGCCAAGGGGGTATTAACGATAACAGAAAAGTTTTGAATTCTTCTTCCTCCATACAGAGAGTTTGTGTGTGCACTTTATTTTCTCACAAATATGGTATTAACCCTATTCTCACCAATTTTTGACAAGGATCTGGTATTAAGGAATAACCCTATTCTCACCCAATGTTTTGGCTGATATTAATAGCAAATTATTTTACAGGAAGCTGATTATTAATTAACCCTATTAACCCCATTCAACAGTCAGCAATAGTAATGAATCCCCTACTATTATACTGACAGTGCAGTTTCATCTGTACTTTAACCCTTTTACCAGTCGGCACTTTCCAGTCCATTTGGTCTCCTGATGAGCAGAGCTCCATTTTTGAATGCCGTAGTTTAGAAAGTTGCACACATGCAACTACATTACTACAGTAGAGGCAATGGGAACAAAATATCGCACTTGAAATGGTATGTACACTAACTGAAGATACTATGGTGACAAATGTACACATGATCACACAGTATTGCATCATATACAGTACGAAATAACTCCCCTTTGCTACAATTACCACTGCAATATACTATTGTACCACTAATATTATACCTCCATTGCTATTGTACTTCTTCTGGCAAGACTGCAGAACATGGAATGTCTAGCTATTACCACTGCCACCACTAATATGCCTCCACTGCTATTGTACTTCCTCTGGCAAGACTGCAGAATGTCTAGCTAATACCACTGCCATATAATATTGCACCACTAATATGCCTCCACTGCTATTGTACTTCCTCTGGCAAGACTGCAGAATGTCTAGCTAATTCCCACGTGTCCAGCTAGGCACACAGCTCAATGTAAACGGTGTTTGTATGAAAGATGTCGGCTACCAACAGCTCAGCTAGCGGAAGTACCGGTGGAGACGAGCTCGAATCCCTCGACTCTACCTCTCCCCTATCTCCGTCTTCCGACGGCCGGTTCCATAGGAGACGACGTGCCGCCGCCTTTTCTTACTCCCCTTTGCTACAATTACCACTGCCATATACTATTGTACTTCTTCTGGCAAGACTGCAGAGTATGGAATGTCTAGCTATTACCACTGCCATATACTATTGTACTTCTTCTGGCAAGACTGCAGAGTATGGAATGTCTAGCTATTACCACTGCCATATAATATTGCACCACTAATATGCCTCCACTGCTATTGTACTTCCTCTGGCAAGACTGCAGAATGTCTAGCTAATTCCCACGTGTCCAGCTAGGCACACAGCTCAATGCAAACACCATAGTTTCTTCTGCTTCTGTTAACCATCGTTTGGTGTAGTAATCGCCACGTCTTCTGCTGGAGTGCTTGGCGTTAATTTAGATTATCGCCCCGTAAAATAGAGTATGCAAAATACGGATAAATTCTACGGGTTGGGAATAGCACTGGGACAAGTGTTGCAATACGCAGCTTACTACACCTGAACAACCAAACTTACTGTGAACACAAGCAGTTTTGTTGGTATATTGTCTCCACCCCTCCCGTTTCATACACCTCTAGTAGCTATTATAGCTGCCCCACCTGACCACACCATTAGGTAATATGCATAACTGTACATAGCTGAAGATCGGTGCTAATATGGACTTGTGGACATTAAAAATGATAATTCCAGCATTTTCGCAGTCTTTCCTATAAACGACAGAGGCTGAATACAGGTCAATCCACATCAACTACTGTATATACTGGATTAAAACCTCTAGTTGATCGGGGTTATTAATGTATATACAGTGCAGAGAGGATTGATGAGTGGATCAATTTGCCTTCATAGAAAGTGTGTGCATCTGCAGGAATCGCTCGCTGGCTGCGCGCTGGACGTTCCAGCGCCTTGCTAGGTACATAGCTACATACCTTTCCACACAGTCCGCAGCGGCACTCGCTCGGAATAGCCTCCACGAATTCGTATCCCAGCACTCCAGCGTCTATCTCTTCTCCTCCTCTCCTCTCCTCGCTCTCCGCGGCTTCGCTGCCAACACTGGACGAAGTATTGGTGTTGCTGGTACTGGTCGTACCATCCTCGGACGAGCTGTGGGTGAGGTGTCCATTTGTCCCGTTCACGACAGCTGCAGGGACCTCGGCTGATCCTCCGGACGACACCGGGGATGAAGCAGAGGCATTCTTAGCTAGACGAGTCGCCGCCGGTCGTGCATCTCTAACACGGGAGTAAGAAAAGGCGGCGGCACGTCGTCTCCTATGGAACCGGCCGTCGGAGGACGGAGATAGGGGAGAGGTAGAGTCGAGGGATTCGAGCTCGTCTCCACCGGTACTTCCGCTAGCTGAGCTGTTGGTAGCCGACATCTTTACCAAAGATGATGAGTCAGGAAAAGGCTAACACCGCTAATTACGTTTGTTAATTGCGCATGCGTAAATCCCAATTAAGCGTAAACAAGGGAAGGAGAACTAGATTACTAGTCAGTTTCAGATTCAGAGCTGCTGTCTTTCTCTCCCTCTCCCTCCACCTCCTCCTCCTCTTTCCCCCAGTCCCTCATCTTTGCCTTCATCATGAAGTCTTCCTTCAGAACTGGCCACTTCTTCTCCTCAGACTTTCTGCCTTTCAGCATGTCTAGGAAACTGCCCTTGTCAATGGTTGACAGAACTGCAGCATTAAAATATACACCGGGAGAGAGACACACATTATATATACACCGTGAGAGAGACAAACATTATATATACACCGTGAGAGAGACAAACATTATATATACACCGTGAGAGAGCCACACATTATATATACACCGTGAGAGAGACAAACATTATATATACACCGTGAGAGAGACAAACATTATATATACACCGTGAGAGAGACAAACATTATAATACACCGGGAGGGAGACAAACATTATATATACACCGTGAGAGAGACAAACATTGTATATACACCGTGAGAGAGACAAACATTATATATACACCATGAGAGAGACAAACATTATAGAGAACACTGCACACAAAAATATCATCCATGTTAGTGTTTTAGGGAAACAAAAACTGACCTTTGGCCTTTTTCTTCTGAGAGGTGCCGGCGGCTGCCTTTACTTGTGTCTGGAGCTGTTTGGAGTGTTGGCTTACTGCATTGAATAGCTGCACCACTGGATGAGGGAGGGAGGGAGGGAGGGAAATATGAGAATTAGCAAAGGTTTGTTTGTCTAATAATGCAATTGAAAGCAAGTAGGGAAAAAGAAACTAAATAAAACAGTGTTTTAGGCGTGGCATGCATGTGCAGTGAAGGTGGTATATACTGCATGTGTGTTTGTGTGTGCGTAACATTATATGTTAGTCTATAATTGAAAAGTTTTTTTTGCTGAGAGAGGTTTCTAAAGTACACACTGGACACGTTTGGGAGCCTTTCAGTTGGCAAAACAACAACCATCTCAACATGGAAAAAAGTTACATTATTGACCCACTGCCACGATTTTTCTATTGTGCAACTTCATCTAACGAGTAGGGTTCCACCCACCACCAGTAGTTGCTATCTTCTGGAGTCTGCGTTCGTAGTCAAGCGTCGATGCATCTGGTAACTGTCGGCAACTGGCCACGACATCACCAGCAGTACTGACGACATCATCATCATCAGAACTGGGGGAAACACCTCCGTCCTCTGATCCAGAGTCTGCCATTCTAACACACGAAATTTGTGGAATTCTAGGTTTCTAAGAATTCAATCTGAAAGTTTGCAACAAGTGAGGGGGTCTGTTTTTACAACAGACTTAGTTTCACACAATTACCTTTACCTGTTTTCTTTGGTGATGATAATACAGTGGAACCTCCGAATAAAGGACACGTTGGAACCAGGCATTTTGTCCTTCTTAGGGAAGTTTTTCCTCTTTTGAAAAGTGAACAAACGTTTGGGACCTAAACATGTGTCCTCTATTCACAGAGTACTGTATTGGAGGTTCTACTGTATTATATGGTGGTCACTTACATTTGCTGCTGTCTTCTTCTCTTCCTCAGTGGTGGACTCCTTCCATCTCTGACTCTCTTCCCACCTTCCCCTACCCATCTCCCGCTGCTGCTGAGGAGACATTGATACACAAAGCCTCTCTCAATAATACAGTATAAAGGACCCTCTGAATAAATGACACCTCTTTATAAAGGACACTTACTTCTACCCCATACTAATACATTAGTGTATTGTTACCACCAAATAAGGGCACTTCCAAAGGGGTTTCTATTCTATTCTAGCTACTAAGTTTCACGTGACCTGTGCATAAAAAAACTTACTCTCCCGGCCTCAGTAGAAGACAAGATGTGAGAGAGAGCATTCGCCATTTCCTGTGTCCTCCTTCTCTCTCTCCATCCCTTCCTCCCTCTCCCTCGCCGCTAACTCCACCAGTCGTCATGATCTCCATCCAGCTCTACACACGAGAATTGGTTCAGAGTTCAAAACGTGGCTTGGAGCATGCGCGCTGTTGTTTCTCTAAATAGCGCGCAGTTTGAATGCAGTTGGGCGGGAACTTCTGGCGGGAAACGACATGTAAACAAAAGGATTTCTCGGCAAATTCACTTTTTGGCGTCTCGGTCGTGACTTTCTTTCCCGCTGTCTTTATCATCGCTATCTCTCTCTCGTTCTTTTTTGAGGTATGTTACGGCCGAGTCCCAGCGTGTGCGTTGTTTTTATTTCCTTTCTGATCTCCCTCCCTTTTCTTTCGCTCAGTCGCCAGGTGGGTTGCTAGACAGTATGGAGGTGGGATGAGAACGTGTCGTCTCTGGCTAATGTCGTCTCCTTCTCCTCCTGACAAGATGGAGACTACCGCTGGTCAGTCTAGTAGTCGTCTCAATTGCACACATTTTCTGTTTGTTTGATTTGTGCTCTCCTCGTTGTCCACTGTGTGACTCCAGGTTGGCCCCTGTTGCCACAGTAATGGCCTGCGTCATTCTGAATAAACAGGACACATTTGCAATCAGTGTATGCCGCTTGATTGTGTGTGACTCTCGTGTGTTCTGCCGTAATAATGTTTCCATTAGTTCTAGTTTATTAGGAACCACTGGAATCCAATAGTTGACAACAAAAAATATCTAAACCTCTCGCTCCTCTCACAGCAGAGCCAGGCAGTGTCTCAGTCCCCAGACCCCCTTGACCCCCGTGGTCATGACGAGGGACCATGTACCTGGATTGATTCAGGACCATCCTGGACACTGACAGTAGAAGTGGGGTGGGGGGGACCGGACTGGTGTGGGGAACAGGTTCATATTTTGGAGCGCAGATGAGGTACATTATTATATATTCACAATATATCTGTGTGTTGTAAGTGCAGCATTATTGGACGAGAAAACTATCTTGCCTAAAGTTGTAGCAACGTATTGGTTGCTCTAGAAAGTTAGCTTTCAGGTTCCCTGTGTCCCTCCCACCTTCTTCCCATCCTAGTTGAAAGTCTTATTTAAAGAATGATCCTTTCTTCTCTCCTATCCCAAACAGGTTGGTTTAACCTTGCGTGACCGTTCCCTTTGCTGAATACGAAGCGAGTGTTCTGGAGGGGGTGGTCGAGAGGTGCTGTGGTTCATCTATGGCGATACTAAAAGCCAACACCTTCCAGAAAAGGGTCAGATCTGGGTTGCCAATTGGGCAGTGACTTCCTCGACAAGATGTGTGTGGTGGGGATTACTGATGCGAGAGAGAGGGTGGTGTTTACATATTTTTTTTGTTTTGTTGGTTTTTTTGGTGTGGTTGGTGTTTTGTTTTTTTTTTGTGTTGGTTTTTTTTGTGTTTTTGGGTGTGGTTTTTTTGTTTGGGTTGTTGTGTTTTTTTTGTTTGTTGGTTGTGAACTTATGATTAATCATTCTTAATCATAAGAAATGTACCATAGTGAAGGCAAACTTTTGAGGGTAAAAATGTGTGTATGAAGTCATCTTGTCCCACAAATATCTTGCAGATAGTGTACATAATTTCCCCATAATAATTGTACATCGAATTATTATGAATTATGTAAGTGCTTACTGATGAGTATGTGAGTATAATGTATATGATTGATGTCTCTATTCCATACTGGGTGTATCGAGGGGATCGGGTCCAGTGTAGTGGTTTCAGTGGAGACGATGGTGTAGTTTGGAGCCAAAGTATGTGGACATGCACAGGTCATGTCTACAGTGTCAGGGGGTGAGCAAACAACTGGCTCAGGTGGTAGTGCGACACTCTTGTGTGTGCTTTCGAGCCCTCCGCCCCATACTAATGTCACCCAGTCCATCATATTAGCGGGTCTTCGCAGTCAGTTCAGCGTGTGTATTAACCCGTCGGCGCGCATGCGTGTGCTGGTTAGGTTGGTTTGATCGTGTCTGTCTGTCTGTCGTCTGTCTGTCTGTTACTCGTCATGTCTCACTCTCGAGTGTTCGTTAGTCTCACCAAAACGATACATCTAATCTGACAAGCGCAATGAAGGTCAGAAATTCTCGACACAGTTTTCTCTGAAACTGCTCGTGCAGAGCTCAGTCTGCGGCGCAGCGTGAAAAAGCCAATAGTACAAAGGACCACAACGGACGGGACGGCTACTACGGCATGATCGATGCCGCGTCGCTCTCGGACGGGTACCTCGGAGTACACAGAAGATGCAAGGCGCTCATCTCGCCTCGTCGCATGCTACTTAGTTAGTGTGTTATGAGTAGCCCGCGTTCAGAGTTACTCTGCGCGAGCTGCAAGAGACCACAAGTAACAGCTTTAAACAACTAAACCGGCAGCCATCAATTAGTGCTACGTGCTGCGTTACTTCGATTGTGCGTCACAGTGTCGTCCGAAGGGAGTTTGCACATTCAGTCATTG